AAATCTTCTGAGAAGAAGGTAGAAATTTGATAAAAGGAAGCGATAAACCGCCTTCATAGGTGGTTTTGACTCGAGATGAGTAAGGAAAACGACAAAGGTCACACCGATGCCAACACGACTAGAAGAGATGCTGTGGAAAGCCAGAGCAGTTCTTCACATGATATTGTCGCTGCCATAAGCACTATGAGCTCCCAATTAGCCTCTTCATTTGAAAGACTGCATGCTACAATGCAACAGTCCTTTGGGGACATAAAGTCCACGATAGATGGACTTACTGAAGAGGATGAAGGAGATGAGAGCTCGCACGACGAAGGGGCGCCATTGGAAAGCGCGCCAAAACTTCAAGGCCTGATCAGGGGTTAAGCCAGCAATCTGGTCCCTCCTTAGGCAAAGGTAGCAAAAGCCAGCAATCTGGTGCTACTAATGAAGAAAATCAGGGCACTGGAGACTCAATTGAAGTCTTATCTGGAATAGCTACTAACTTGAAACTTGTGCAAAAGAAAGGCCCTGCAGTAAATGAGCAAATCGCCGAAATTGTTCAAGGTCTAATGAGAGTAAAACTCTCTGATGAGGTTTTGACTGAGACTCAAAATCGTTATAATAGACCAGAAAACTGTGATTGCTTGGAAACTACTAAAGTAAATCACCTCATATGGGACAAGCTGAAGTCTGAAACCAGATCGGCTGATATCAAATTACAACGAGTGCAAACAAACCTTGTGAAAGGGGTAATCCCCATTGTCTCTCTTATTCAAGAGCTTGTAAATGCTAGAGATAAAATTCCTAGCGATGTATTGGAAGTTGAGGAAATACTCAAAAAAGGCACTGACGCTATTGCACTCATTGGCGCCGCGAACTTTGATCTAAACATGCGGCGTCGTGACAATATTAAACTTGAACTTAATGAAGATTACAAACACTTGTGCTCAAGTACCGTACCATTTACCGACTATCTCTTTGGAGACGACACAGATCTGTCGAAACAATTGAAAGACTTGGCAGAAGCTACTAAAGTTAGCAAAAAGATCAAGCATGACTCCAAAAGTGACACGCGTAAAGGGTCAAACTACAGAAACTTCAAGTCTTCAAAAAGAGGATTTGGATATAAACGAGACCAATACTCACGTTCCAACAGCTACAAGAGCAATTTAAACTGGAAAAGGCCCAGCCTCAAGAACAAAGAAGAGGGGAAGAGGCAAAAGTAGGGCCTAAATGCCCCTCAAATKAGGTAAACATTGACAATTATTCATTTCAGGCAGGTAAATTGAAAAATTTCATCCCTGCATGGAAAGAAATAACTTCTGATAAGGAAATTCTTGACAGGGTAGAGCATCTACATATTGAATTTGTAGATAATGAACCTCCAACCCAAGTTGGAGAGCCCAGAGTCATTAGATTCAATCAGGTGGAAACAAAAATCTTGGATCTTGAGATCCAAAAGCTTATTGACAAAGGTGTAGTCATACAATCAACCCACTCAGAAGGAGAATTTATCTCTCCAATATTTTTGAGACTGAAAAAGAATGGGGTTGATTACCGCATGATACTTAATCTCAAAAAATTAAACAAATTTGTTGTGTACAAACATTTTAAGATGGATTCTCTGAAATCAGTCACAGACCTAATGACTCAGGGCTGCTTCATGSCATCAGCAGATATCAAAGATGCTTACTACACAGTCCCAATCGCTAGAGAACATCAAAATTTTTTGAAGTTTTCATGGAAGGATAAATTATATCAATTTACCTGCTTGCCAAATGGGCTGGCATCAGCTCCAAGAGTTTTCACAAAACTCCTAAAGCCAGTTTTTACAGTTTTAAGACAGAAAGGGTTTTTATCCTCATCATACATAGATGATTGCTACCTACAAGGAGACTCATATAGAGAATGCCTTGATAATGCCACTCAAACTGTATCACTTCTTAGAAGGCTTGGATTTTGCATTCATGAGGAAAAACTAAAAACTGCTAACCCCATCCCAAAGATTAACCTACCTTGGGTTCGAGTTGAACTCCCTTGACATGACAGTGAAACTCACAGACTCTCGGGATACAAAATTGAAACTAGCTTGTGAAAAAATGCTTAAGAAAAGCCATAGTTCAATACAGAACCTAGCAGAAGTGATAGGGTTGATGGTTTCAAGTTTCCCTGGGGTTGAGTATGGCCCTCTGCACTATCGTAGCCTCGAACGAAACAAAACTCAGGCCCTCAGGGAGAACAAAGGAGATTTTTCAGGTCCTGTAACTCTATCTGAGCAATCTAGATCAGACTTAAAGTGGTGGATTGGTAGTGTGCCTTCCTCCTCTAAACTGATCTCTCACGGAGAGCCAGACATCACCATACAAACGGATGCCTCAACTCAAGGTTGGGGAGGGGTGAGAGGTGATCAGAGAACTGGAGGCAGATGGAGTGAGGAAGAAGCACTACATCATCAACTACTTAGAACTTCTAGCCATTCTACTTACCATCAAATCTTTGTGTGCACATTGCTCAGGA